TATACAAGCAGTCGATCTTACGCCCAGAAATTCCTGGTGCTTTTAGATAAACAAGTACAAGTCAGCTCAAGCACATCTCAGAATCTGTTAAAAGCAAGTTCTGTTGAACAAATTGTTGTAAGTTAAACTTGGGCCTTATTAAACAGGTTATCCAATTAATAAAGTTTCTTAGATTCTACAATCCTCCCTGATTTGAGGAAATCCCTCAAATAAACTAATGCTGCCAAATGTTCTGATATATTTAGTGATGTATAAATATGTGAGTGTGAGATTAAATTATAAGTTTATATTGTGCTGTACAGTGTGAATATGTGATAGTGTAAAACAGTGGTGTTGTAATAGTTGAAACTTAAGATCTTTACCAAAATTTGATCACTCAGGCATTTCATTAGATAGTTGCCATTGCTTCCCTGAGGAGCCAAAAAAACCTGTTGCTGTCATTTACAGGAAAAATGTCTCCTCAGAACTAGACCCCTCTTTCTAGTTTCTGCCATTTGATTTCTAAGGCAGGGAGCAAGTGCATTAGTCAAATAAAATTCTGTTCAACACTTCATGATTGAAAACCATTTTGAGTAATTGTGAATTTTGTGCATTATGAAAAGAGTTGTAACCAAATTAGTGACATAATTGATACAAGCAAACATAACATGATAAAATATAAAACAAAAAGATATAACATAATAAAGCACAAACTTGAAAATGATGTCTCAATTGTTGAAGGACATCAATAGTTTGATTCAGAGTCTCATACTTTAAAGAGAATCAATACACATTAAGAAGTGTATAGGAATAAAATGATTGAAACTTAGAAAAGTAAGGAAATAAAAAGATAAAGTAGATCAAGAAGATGAAGAGCCTTAGCTCTTCAGTTCAGTTCTGTTCAATTCAGTTCAGTTCTGTTCAATTCAGTTCTGTTCAGTTCAGTTCCTTATGGATGGCAAAAACAAAAAAGAAATGTCTTTATAGTTGTTCAAACACTTTGCTGAAGAAGGACTTCATTTTTATTTGAAAATGCATTCATTTCCATACTTCACTTTTCCACTTTCGTCTCAAAGTTTCTTTGCGTCTTGGCAGTCAGTTTGGCAAGAGGCGGGGAGATAGACTGGTGTGGCGTCTTGATCTGAACCAGTTGATTTGCAACCTTCTAGTCCTTTGGTTGCCAGTGCTCGTTTTTCTATTCGCCTCAAGGTGTCAGGACACAACATGTCAACAGGAGAATCACAATTAGTACTGGGGTTGTACTAATTCGTATTTTATCAACCTTTCTAAATTTAGGTTTTAATCAATCCTCAAGACCACTTATCCTTATCAGCATTTTCCCTAGAGTTGATCTTTTAGCTTCTTAGATTTTAACATAGCTTCAGAAAAAGTTCAAAAGATAATTTAAATAAGCAATTGCAACAAATCTTTTAGCTCTAAAATTCTCTACTTTCGCTTTCTCAAAATTAATCACCTCATTCATTCAATTGTATAAAAGTATCACAAAGGATTTCATTCTTACTGTGAAGTGCATGCACCAATCATCTTGGTGACTATACTTTCTTTAGATCATCATCTTTACACAGCCAATAAATATCTGTCATAAACTGTATCTAATCACTGAAAAGGTAAAGAGCAAGAATAGTCATAGTTACTGTATAGTTTCACAAGTCTAGCTTAAATAATTCAGGATTTTCATATCATTGTATCACATCATATCATATTGTCATACCAAACAGATGTTATATAAAAACAATGAGGACAAACTTTAATGTTACATTACATCTAAACAGTTGTGTTCATTAAATAATTCAGTCTTGTTTGAAACCTTCACTTGTAAAACATTAATATTCAGTATTATAATTCTTGGAGTTTTATATCCACGTGCTAGCTGCTAACCAATTGGTAATGGAATAGTTGTTAATTTTCTATGTTCTCATATCTTGTGTTTTCTCATAAATCTAAATTTACCACTATACATAGGAATTTTAAAGAACAATGATATCCCTGTTTGATTGTTCATTTCATGTTCTTTACAGTTTTTAAGCTGTAGCTTTATGCATTTCTCAGAATTATGTTTTTTCCTAAAATCACTTTTTCCTCCCTGTTGTAGGAGACACTTTTGGAATTTGGGCTCTAGGCCTTAACTAATTTAAACAAAGGTTTAATATGGTAACTATGCTTAGTTCATTAAATCTGTCCAATCCTCCCTGACGTTAAAAATATGTAAAATTTAGTATGTCAAACTACTATGCTTTCTTCTGCTAAATAACACTCTGTGGTGTTGTTTTAATAATGAGCCTAGGATTTTGTTTATACGTTTTGCGCTCTATTGTTCTGATTCTAGTAGTTACAGATGGTACTTTAAATCTCTGGAGTCGATGTTTTAATTGTTAATAGTTCAGATGTTCTGGTTGCTTCTGCAGTATCTATAGATGTTGTTTCAAAGTTTGAAGGTGTAATATGTGACTTTGTGGCAGTTAAAATCTCAATATAGGTAGTTTGTTTACTTAAGGTAAAGATATTTAATTATGTTAATGGAGTTTTTTGGTTTTATATTATTTACTGTAACTAATATTTTATTCAACCTGATAGTTGCTTATTCTATTTTAGTTCCATAAATCATTGTTTGCTGGTTCTTTTAAACTTTAATTACTTTTCCTAGAAGTTGTCTTTTAGTTTCACATTACACTTTAATCTGAATCTCTTTTTCTTTTAAATTATACCTTTTTTGTACTACGCTTGGTTTGATTTAGTGTGTTTAAGAATGTGTTATTGTGAATGCTGGTAAGCTAAATGGCCCGTAAAGGATGTTTTTTGTTGTGTCATACTCAACTTGGGCTTGACGTCTTGTTTCCTTGTTGCTGACAGCTGCTTTTTGTTCTGATGAATGGTTGACGTGTGTTAGATGATCTTTGGTGATCTTTGGTGATCTTCACCTTGTCCAGCAGATGGTTTGTCAGTGTTGATGCCTCTAGCATCATTTAAAACAAAACAGTCAGACATTTTCTGCCTTTCTCTCAGTATCAGGTTCAATGTTTATCTTTGCAGCAACACTGTCCTGAGTCGTCTTGGGCTTGTGATGGAAATCATGTTGAGCTTTCCTCGATGTTGATTGCAGTAGGTGCAGCTAGCCTTGGACCTTCTAGTATGGACCCTCATGCCTTGTGTCATGTCATTTCCTTTTGGAAACCCTTGGCGTCCACTCATCTCCTTTCTCAGCACCTGTAATGAAAATATGCTTCCCTTCTCCTTTTCTTTTATAACATCCTGATTAGTGCTTGGTGAAATAGATTAATGAAATAGCTTAGTGAAAAGCTGTTAACTGCGTAATATAAAAGCCGTGGTGTTAATAGTTTTCAAATTTAAGCTGTAGCTACTCAAAGTTTTGATTGTCATCCACCTCCCTGTTATAGTTTCAATGTCATTCACCTCCCTGTTATAGTTTCAATACCATTCACCTCCCTGTTATCATTTCAATGTGGTGATTGCTTGACTGTGCATGTTCATGAAGTTCATGTGCATAAATTTGTTGAGGTTAGTAGTGTTAAGGATTTGCTAACTTTTAGATTTCATGCTTATATCAAATCATTCAATTGAATCAACCGTTTGGGCATTTTCTTCTTTATCCAACAGATGCTTCTCTGCTTCTGCAGCATCTTTGTCCTGTCAAACATGGCTTGCAGTCATTTCCTGCTTTTAAAATATATGTAAAAAGAACAAGAGAATACAATACCTCCATTCTATCAAATAATTATTGTTTTAGCATTAATATTTCTCCACCCCTTTGTTTGTTTTAAGAAACACTTTTAGTTCATTTGATTCAACAGCCATGATTAATGTGTGTTTGTGTGTTTGATACTTAACTGAGTAGAAGTCTCAGGAAAGAGCAGCTTTATGGATCTTTTTTGTGTAAGGGTCCCACTGCCTGCAGCCTGCCTTGCTGATGGCCGCTGATTACCAACACCTGGCGGCCATCAGCCTGATGAGCCTCTCCATCTACTTAAGGCTGCAGTCCGGTGTGATTCAACGCTGGAGCATATCACCTCTTATGTTTCCTGGTTCCTCGTGCTCTTTGGATTCCCTCGTGACCTGATTTGGATCCCTAGGCCTCTCAGGTATTCCTCGTGCCTCTTTGCCTCCAGTGCCAGCCTTCCTCGTTCCCCTTTTGGACTCTTGTTGGATTTCCCTCTGCTGCTCGCTCGCCTTGGACTGAAGGACCAGCTCTCCCCTTCGGGTTGGACTGTAAGGACAAACACTCATTAAGCAAACAACTTGGGCCTTCCCCGTTGGACAGCGAATAACCTGTCGTCCCTCTTTCCAGGAGCCTCAGACCAGCAGCCTGTGGATGTCATTTAACTCACTGTAAATAATAAACACTGTTCTTTTGTATTTCCCCTGTGTCTGCCTCGTTCTGGGTCTCATACCATCTGGGTTCCCCGCGCACTCCTAACATTTTGTACTCAGGAGCTGAATCAATAACCCTTATTGCTAACTGACCCTATCATTTCATCTTTCCATTCAACAGTTTTTTTTAATTCGCATGCGCAGGAAAAAATTCCTTTGGTTATGTAGGGATGGTGCCATCTAGTGGGCCTTCCCCTGTCTGTTCTCCCTTGTGTCTCTGTATTGATTGTCTGATTATCATCACCTGTGTCATGTCCTGTTTGCGTATATACAGTCTGTCTGTTAGTCCTGTCGGTGTCGGTTCGTCGTTGGGTATTGCCTGTCCTGTCTGTCTGATCCTGTTCTTGAATTTGCTTTGTAAGTTTTGCTGCCATGTCAGCCTTTTGATTTATTATTATTATTATTTAAAGTATTTTATTTTATACGTCTGCCTCCTGAGTCCTGCCTGTGCAACTGGGTTCTCCTGTCCTGATCTGCCTTGAAACCCTGACAGTACGAACCGACCAAAACCTGAACCCAGCAGGCAGACTCACTCAGACTCTGCTCACCTATTTTTTGACCGAGCTTGTCCAGATGGAGGGAGCTGCGATCCGATGTGGTGCCTTTTGGACTAGACCTGTCCTGGGACTTGGAAGCTGCAGCCAGGCGGTTAAAATTCTGCCTTCACCTCTCCTACTGCAGGAGGAGAGACGAAGATATCAGCTCCAGAGGAACTACACAGCACCCAGGTCCAGTCCCTCCTACTCACCAGTCTGCTCTGGGTGGACTTCGGGGGAGGATGCCGAGTCAGAGGATGAACTCTGGTTCGCCCCCGTACACCACCCACATCGCCGCCAGAAGGGAAAGAGAAGACGCAACCGGAACCGGTCCGTTGCTCTTCCGCCCATATCACATGCATGTCCAGCTCCTCGCACTCGGCCCGGCGAGGCTGAATTTTTTGGTTCCGCTTCCTCCTGGTCCCAGCCTCCAGCCTGCTCTCCTCAACCAGAACCTGCAAAACCAGGGAGAATTTCGCAGGGGGCGGGCGGGGGAGCAGTCTTTCCCCCGTTCGTCTGTGGAGTGGATGAAGGGGGGCCAGCCCGGGGAGCGTGTTGGGCAATCGCTTCCTGCTCTTATTGAGGATGACCAGATCCCTGAGCTGCCTTCTGTAGAGGACCAGGTGGCTGATCCTCTCATCAGAGGCTCTATAATGATTCTCAGAATCACTCCAAGAGAGACAGAATTAAAAATGGAAGACGCCTGGTGGACCAACTCCTAGAGATCTTCACCTCCCAGCCTGACCTGCTCAGCACATCGGTTCATCAGGTGATCTTTCAATTTGCCATTAAACTGAAAACTGAACTTTAACCTATTTTTCGACCAAGATGGCGGCGTGTGAACAACGCGAGGCTCAGCGTCTCTCCAGAACATGCTATTTAGCGTTTTTCTACCTACTTTTGACCGGACTATTCATCCAGAATTGCTCAGCGTTGCTGTTCTACAGCAGACAGGAGCTTCTGGACATCTGTACTCAAACCTCCTATAGTTTTGTTGCCGATCTCCGACTCATTCCAGAGATCTCCAGAACACCGGAGGCTGCTTACTCCTCCATGCCGGGAGGAAGTACACACAGACGGCGCCGGGAACATAAACAAAGGCGGGATAAGCGCGGAGGACTACGGGCTAAGCTAAAACTTACACCACATAGGCTGCCTTTACCCAGCATTTTCCTCGCCAATGTCCGTTCTTTGACAAACAAAATGGATGAAATCCGGCTCTCCATCACCAACAACAGGCGGATTATGAACTCAAACGTCATGATTTTCACTGAAACATGGTTAAACAACAGCTGCCCGGACAATGCTATTGAGTTAGCAGGACGCCACACACACCGAGCCGACAGGATAACTGAGGACTCCGGCAAGACCAGAGGTGGAGGTTTGTGCATTTATATTAACAAAGCTTGGTGCACAGACTCTGCTACTACCGAGAGACAATGCTCACCTAATGCGGAGTTTATAATGGTCAAATGCAGACCTTATTATCTACCCAGAGAACTCACTTCCATTATACTCACTGCAGTGTATATCCCCCCGGATGCTAATGCTAAGCTGGCTATGAAAGAACTTTATGCAGCCATTAGCAAACACCAGACCAAACACCCTGAGGCTGCTTTTATTGTTGCTGGTGACTTTAACCACTCCAACTTGAAGACAGTCCTCCCCAGATTCCACCAACATGTCTCCTGCTACACCAGAGGGGACAAGACTTTGGACCATGTTTACTCCAACCTGGCTGGAGCATACAAAGCAACACCCCTCCCCCACATTGGACAATCGGACCATCTCTCCATTTTCCTCACACCTTGGTACTCACCACTCATCCAACGTGTGAAACCCACTGTGAGGACAATAAAAGTGTGGCCAGAGGGGACAGACACTGTGCTCCAGGACCAGTTCAAAAACACTGATTGGAATATGTTCACTCACACCGACTTGGAACAGTACGCCTCATCTGTGCTGGACCACATCTCCACCACTATAGACAGTGTCACCACCCAGAAACAGATCACCATGTACCCCAACCAGAAGCCTTGGATGAATCGGGATGTACGTCTACTGCTGAAGGCTCGCAACATCGCCTTCAGGTCAGGGGATACACAGGCATACAGTACAGCCAGGGCTGAGCTGAAGAGGGGCATCAAAAAGGCCAAGCACCACTACAAGGGGAGGATAGAAGAACACTTCTCAAACTCCAACCCCCGACGTATGTGGCAAGGACTCCAGATTATTACAGATTACAGGGCCATCAACCCCTCCCCCGTCTCCTCTGATGTTTCCTTCCTCAATGAGCTCAACAATTTCTATGCTCGTTTTGAGAGAGGGAACCTAACAACTACAACTAAGGCAGATGTGTCTCCAGACCACCAACCACTGACTCTTTTCCCCACCGATGTAGGAGCGGCGCTGAGCAGGATTAAAGTTCACAAGGCTGCGGGTCCTGATGGCATCCCTGGATGTGTTCTTAGAGCGTGTTCTGGGGAGCTGGCAGGAGTACTGACGGACATATTCAACCTGTCCTTGGCCCGTGCTGTGGTACCAACCTGCTTCAAAACCACCTCCATCGTCCCAATACCCAAAAACTCAAAACCATCAAGACTCAACGACTACCGTCCGGTAGCCCTCACCTCCATCATCGCAAAGTGTTTTGAGCAGCTGGTCCTAGTACACCTCAAATCCTGTCTCCCCCCCACCCTGGACCACCACCAATTCGCATACCGCCAGAACAGGAGCACAGAGGATGCAGTCTCCATAGCGCTGCACTCTGTTCTCTCACACTTGGACAACAAAAACACCTTTGCCCGGATGCTGTTCATAGATTTTAGTTCAGCATTCAACACAGTCATCCCCTCAAAACTCATCACAAAACTCACAGACTTGGGCATCAGTTCCCTCATGGGCAACTGGTTACTGGACTTTCTGACCAACCGACCCCAACATGTCCAGCTGGATAACCACTGCTCATCTATCATCACTATTAACACCGGTGTACCACAAGGCTGTGTGATGAGTCCCTTCCTCTACTCCCTCTTCACCCATGACTGCAAACCTGTTGATGGTTCCAATACCATCATTAAGTTTGCAGATGACATCACGGTGATCGGCCTAATCAAAGACAACGATGAGACCGCTTATAGGGAGGAGGTGGTTCGTCTGGCTGAGTGGTGTGACAACAACAACCTGCTGCTCAACACCGAGAAGACTAAGGAGCTCATCGTGGACTTCAGGAGGAACGCTGGCCCACATCCACCCATCTACATCAAGGGGACGGTGGTGGAGCGTGTGAACAGCTTCAAGTTCCTGGGTGTCCACATCTCCGAGGATCTCACCTGGACGACCGGCTGTTCCAAACTGATCAAGAAAGCTCACCAGCGTCTTTTCTTTCTGAGGACTCTGAGGAAGAACCACCTGTCCTCAGACATCCTGGTGAACTTTTACCGCTGCACCATTGAGAGCATCCTGACCAACTGCATCACAGTCTGGTACGGGAGCTGCTCTGCCTCAGACCGGAAGGCGTTGCAGAGGGTGGTGAAAGCCGCCCAACACATCACCGGATCACCACTTCCTGCCATAAAGGACATCTACAGGAAGCGGTGTCTGAAAAAGGCTGGAAAAATCATAAAAGACTTCAGCCACCCAGCACACAGACTCTTCACCCTCCTGCCCTCTGGGAGGTGCTACAGGAGCCTCTGGACTAAAACCACCAGGTAACAGAACAGCTTCTTCCCCACAGCTGTCACACTCCTTAACTCTGCCTCCTGACATCTGAATAACAACAACGGTCTGTATTCTCATACACACAACAACAGCACATGGACTGTAACACCACCACCTGCACTTTCATCCGTTAGCCCACTACTGTACAAACTGTACACATAATATACTATCTACTGTTCATAAGTACTCACATACTTATATATATATATATATATATATTTCTTTTATATAGCTGTTTATACCCCGTCATATTATAACCTGTTCATAGTCTGTACACTCACAACCTGTATATATTTATACCTATAGCATATTCAAAGCAACTTACTGTATATTGTACTATATATATATCGACCTATTTATTTTTCTTGCTAAGCACTTCTGGATGGATGCAAACTGCATTTCGTTGCTTTGTACCTGTGACATGTGCAATGACAATAAAGTTGAATTCTATTCTATTCTATTCTATTCTATTCTATTCTATTTTTGTCTCGGTGCACACTGATCCAACTGAAGAGCCTGCAGCCAGCCAGCCCAGAGCCTGCAGCCAGCCAGCCCAGAGCCTGCAGCCAGCCAGCCCAGAACCTGCAGCCATCCCAGAGCCTGCAGCGGTACCAGAACCTGCAGCAGCCAGCACAGAACCTGCAGTGGTACCAGAACCTGCAGCAGCCAGCCCAGAACCTGCAGCCCGTCCAGAGCCTGCAGCAGCCAGCCCAGAACCTGCAGCCAGTCCAGAACCTGCAGCAGCCAGCCCAGAACCTGTAGTAGCCAGCCCATAACCTGCTGCAGTAGCCAGACCACAGCCTGTGAAAGGGTCCACACCTCAGCCTGAGGGTTCTGCGTCCGCCAAAGGGTCTTCACCTCAGCCTGAGGGTCCTGCGTCCGCCGAAGGGTCTTCACCTCAGCCTGAGGGTCCTGCGTCCGCTGAAGGGTCTTCACCTCAGCCTGAGGGTCCTGCGTCCGCCGAAGGGTCTTCACCTCAGCCTGAGAGTCCTGTGTCCCCTGTTGTTCCTGCTGAAGAGGATCCTGGCCAGCCTGCGACCTTCAGCTCACGTCTCCTGTCTCGAGGGGGTCCTGGAGGACGCCCCTCACGTATCCTGTCTCGTGGGGGTCCTGGAGGACACCCCTCATGTCTCCTGTGTCGTGGGGGTCCTGGAGGACACCCCTCACGTGTTCTGTCTTGTGGGGCTCTTGGAGGATGCCCCTCACGTCTTCTGTCTCGTGGGGGTCCTAGAGGACGCCCCTCACGTCTCTTGTCTCGTGGGGGTCCTGGAGGACGCCCCTCAGGTTTCTGGTTCTGGGAGGGTCCTGGAGGGCACCCCTCATGTCACAAAGACTGCAGCAACAGATGGCCTCCACTCCGCCCACCTGAACTTTGGCCTCATGTTGGACGGCCTCCCGGCCACCCACCTGAACTTTGGCCTCGTATTGGACGGCCTCCTGGCCGCCCCCCTGACCTGCTCTGGCCCGTCGGACGGCCTCCTGGCCGCCCACCTGACCTGCTCTTGCTTGTCGGACGGCCTCCCGGCCACCGACCTGACCTGCTCTGGCCCGTCGGACGGCCTCCGGCCACCCATCTGACCTGCTGAGCCAGTGGATGGTCTCCCAGCCGTCTGGACATTTTGTGTTTCCCTACTTAGTTTAGTCACCAGGCCTTGTCCTGTCGGTTTTGTTTTGGTCCTTGTGTGTCTTTGTTTGGGCCCGCCACCCTTGCAGTTCCTCCCTCCGCCCACCCTAGTTTTCTGGGAGGGGATTTCTTGGGGATGCCAGGGGGCGTCCTTGAAGGGGGGGAGGGGGGTACTGTAGGGATGGCGCCATCTAGTGGGCCTTCCCCAGTCTGTTCTCCCTTGTGTCTCTGTATTGATTGTCTGATTATCATCACCTGTGTCATGTCCTGTCTGTGTTTATAAAGTCTGTCTGTTAGTCCTGTCGGTGTCGGTTCGTTGTTGGGTATTGCCTGTCCTGTCCTGCCTGTCTGATCCTGTTTGATCCTGTTCTTGAATCTGCTTTGTAAGTTTTGCTGCCATGTCAGCCTTTTGATTTATTATTATTATTATTATTAAAAGTATTTTATTTTATGTCTGCCTCCTGAGTCCTACCTGCGCAACTGGGTTCTCCTGTCCTGATCTGCCTTGAAACCCTGACAATTATCACAATAATTCATTATACAGTCAAAAACATTAGTGTAATAAACATTTAATCAGTTTTGAATTTGTCATTTGCAGAGACTAATTTTAGTTGTTTTAGTTAATTTTAGTTTATAAGTTGATCTTTTTGTGGCGGGTGAGATAAAGTAAATCTCTTTTCAGTGCACTGACAACCCCTTGGTACCATTAGAATATTCAAAATATAATTATGATTTCATGATTAATTTAAAGTCCCTTTTTTAATCATGCATTTTATTAGACATGTCTTTTCCTTTGTAAAAATGATCATTAATTGTTTAATTCATTTAATCTAATGTCAAAGAAGCTTCTTAAATATAAATGTTTTGGTTTATGATTTTAAAAAGTTTTCTACACTTCATTAATTCCTCATTTGGTGATGTAAACATCTGCAAAGCTTCATAATATTTTGATTGAACAAGTCTTACTGTGGAACAGTGACCTTTCTCCCTCACTGACCAAACACTCAAACATCTGTTCTGTGCTCTGATCCACAAAGTTCGTCTGCCCCTCCTTCTTCTTCCCTTCCTGGCAGGTGCTGAAGTGTCCGGGCACTCCGCCAAACAACTCAGTTCCGGAGTAGCTTTTCCAAACAAAACTTTTTTACAATTCTTTTCCAATTATCTGTCAGACATTAGTAACAAATCAATTATGAAAAACAAGTCTTACAAAACATCTATGGTTCTTTAAAATGTAATAAGCTACAACAAACATCTTAGTTTCTGAAAAGGTCAGTTGTATGTGTGTTATGTTGCTAAAATGTGTGTTTTAATGTGTTAGTCATTGTTTTAACAAGTTTGTTTGTTTTTTTATAACAAAATTACATAATTTGTTGCTAAGTTTTGTTTTCCTAACTATTACCGGCTATATATAAATATAATCATTTCCTGAATTATATATATATATATATATATATATATATATATATAGGCAGCACGGTGGCGCAACTGGTAGAGCTGCTGCCTCTCAGTGAGCAGGTCCTTGGTTCAAACCCCGGTCCAGGGGCCTTTCTGGGTGGAGTTTGCATGTTCTCCCCGTGCATGCGTGGGTTTTCTCCAGGTACTCCGGTTTCCTCCCACAGACCAAAAACATGCATGTTAGGCTGATTGGTAACTCTAAAATTGTCCCTAGATGTGCATGAGAAAGTGAATGGTTGTTTGTCTCGTTTGTCTCTATGTGGCCCTGTGATGGACTTGCGACCCATCCAGGGTGTTCCCCGCCCCTCGCACAGTGATGGCTGGACATGGGCACCGGCGACCCCCGTGACCCAAAATGGAATAAACGGGTAAAGATAATGGATGGATGGATATATATATATATATATATGTGTGTGGCCACTTTCTAGGTTTAAATTTTCTTGAAACCTGTATTAACTGTTCTGCATACAAACTGAACACCACTTTTCATCCTCAATTTGTCATGTTCTTTTAGAGAATGTTGCTTGAAATGATCCAAACTAAAGTTTAAATTTTGTTTTGATCACGGGGTCGGCCGTGGCCGAGTGGTTAGAGCAGTCGTCCTTCAATGCAAGAGTTGGGAGCTCAAATCCACCAGCAGTCACATGCCGAATTGTCTATGGGCAAGACAGTGAATCCTTCTTCACCTCCGATGTGTGTCCCATCAGTGTATGAATGTGATAATGTTCTGATTAGTCTCTTTAGAATGATTTGTTCAGTTATCTTTGTAGAGGGCTAGTATAGAGCTGTATGAATGGATAAATGAGGACACAGATTGTTGTAAAGCACCTTGAGTATCTTGATCAGATAGAAAGGCGCTCCACAAGTACAGTCCATTTACCATAAGTTGTTTCATTAATAGTTTAGTTAAAGTGTCTAGTATGTTTTTATTCAGATAATGCTTGTGATTTTTAGCTTTAATTAACCTTAAAATTTTGTTTATTTTAGAATTTTGTTGACTTTTAAAATTAATTTCAGTTAAACTCCTGATCAGCACCTTGTTAAAATTTTCATTAGAACTCTTAATTATCAAATGCTCATGGTGAACAATTCTTCTCACTGTGCGTGTACATCTGTCAATCATTTTTTCTTTACTTTTTCAGCAGAGTTCATGGTTGCTTGGTTGTTTTCAGTTCAGTTTTTTTTTTTTTTGTTCATTGCGTCCAGTGTCCATTGCAGTTTACAGATGTCTTTTCCTTGTATTTGCCACCAATGACATTTTCAGTTTTTGCAAGTGTCCATTTCAGCCCCTTTGTGTTTTGATGATTGTGGTAGATGTTCAGGTTTCTACAGCTTCTTTCAGCTCTGTGCCATTTTTTTTTCAGTTCAGTCGCTCTGCATTTTGTCATTTCCTCCGTGTCTCCCTTCCTGTCATATCATGACAGCTCGTTCAGCATTAATGGTTGTCAAAGACACACTTCAACAAGAATCAATGCCACCATAGCACAATAAAAAATTATGTAACTCTATCATTAATTATTCCTTTTACTTAATCATGGTGTATACTGAAACTCATTATTATTTTTAAATAGTTTTAAAGCAAAGTTTTAAACTTTGTAATTTACTCTGTTTTAATTTTCTTTCTAATATCTAATAGCTCTGTATTTTCAGGTCAGAAAAGATCCAATGAAGGTAAAAAAAAGTTATTCTGTCACAGAAGACAAAAAGCTGTAAATAACGATTTTCAGTGTTGTCAACCTACTTTAAAATCTATTTATTATTGTTGTTTTATTTTATTTTATTTGTTTTATTTATTTTACTAAAAGCCTCTCTGTGTGCATATATGTGTGTGTGTGTGTGTGTGTGTGGATGTGCGTGCATCTGCGCACACGTGTTCTTTGACTCAAAGTCTTCATTTACCTTTAGCGTTATGTGAGGTGCAGATTCTGGGATGTTGTACCAGTTTGTGATTAAGGCTTGTTCTGCTCATTTCATAAGTCTATTTTTAGCTGTGTGTGTTTTTTTTTTCTTTTCTTTCACATAGCCTGTGTGCATGCGTGCGCTTCCTTCCCACTGCACTGCGAGGACAAGTCCTCTCACCCTTTGTTTATCTTGTGTGCGTGTCTGTATGTGTGTGTGTTTTTTCCTACAAGACATCAACCAAGTTTTGCCCCATTCCTCATCTCGTGTTTTCTTTTTCCTCAGAGCAACACAACAACAAAGTCTCTGCCTTAAAGCGACCCACAATAGACGAAAACAATTTTTTCCCTCCTGCCTTTATTTCCTCCTCACATGGCATAACAATCCTTCAGTCCGCAGCCGACAAACTGCATGCTGTTTTCATAAAAATAAACTATACGTCTCACTTTTCAACTGTATGATATATATATATATATATATATATATACAAAGTATATTATTTTATATTATTTTATGGAGCTCCTTTTATCAAAATAAAAATTAATGAAATCATTTATTTTAGAGATTGCATTTTATTTTATTATGATTTATTTATTTATTTACTTTTTTTAGTTTAAAAATTCAAATGTTAGTAAATAAAATTGTGTACCAGTATTTATTTATCACTGATTATTTTATATATTTACTTCAGACCTACAACCACTTCACATTCATTCACACAACATGAAAATATAGCTTAGCTCTTCAGAAAAACACTTTTACATGTTTTCTGGGATCCGACACAATAGACGTCTCTCATCTTAAAAATCAATACACAATATAGACCGTCTCTCTTAGCCGTCTCAAAAACACAAGGACATCTTGTCCTAAATTCTAGAACCTCTGTCTGGCACAAAATCAGCAACTCTTTGCTGTCACATCGGAAACTTCTGTTCCATTCTCTGGCCTCTTTTTATTTTATTTTATTTTTTATCACAGCAGAATCTTTTCCCAATTTCACAAAACTGTTGCTGTTCGTACACTGCACAAGGCATTACCATTTTTAGATTTCACTTGTAATTTTTTCAGCTGCAATCTGTCGACAGATTTAAAGGTTTTTTTTGCTATCAATACAGAAACAAATAGTGTCTGGTTAAAAGCCTGGGATCCAGTCATCTCAGCAGCAGACGTGAACAAGAATCTTTTATTTTAAAAAAATCATAATTACCTTGAATATGGGCCCCAAATCCTGGATTCACGCTGCTGAAGTAAAGACCAGTTTCCCAAAGACTCATTCCACATTGTTGCGCCAAAATGTAGTGGCATCTACTACATTAGTACTCTATTGCAGCATTTGTGGATGATGTGGTCCCGTTGTTGTGGTACAATGATCTTCAGCTCTCACTGGAGCATTTCTCAGCCGAATGTGAAGTGGCTGGCATGAGGATCAGGACCTCTAAATATGTGGCCATGATTCAGTTGGAAAAGCATGGATTGCTGTCTTCGCATTGAGGGTGAGGTTCTGCCTCAAGTCAAGGAGTTCAAGTATCTTGGGGTTTTATACATGAGTCAGGAAAGAATGTAGCATGAGATTGACATATGTATTAGTGTGGCCTCTGCAGTTTTGCGGACTCCATGCCTGTCTGTTGTGGTAAAGAGGGAGGTGAGTTGTAATGCGATACTCTCTGTTTACTGGTCAGCCTACGTTCCTACCCTCACAAACTCTCCGTTGATGCCATGACTGAAATGGTGAGAAATTAAGGAATTTGTCACGAGCGAATTAAACTCAGGTCCAGCGTGGCTGCGGGAGGGTCTGGAGATTTCCTGGTGGGCTGGTCTGATGTGTGGGCTGCAGAGCCAGTGCTCCCTGTTTTTTTTTTTTTTTTTAGATCTTTTTATTAACAACATATAAAAACAGAACACCTAGGCACCTCCCTAGGGAAATGCTTCAGGCATGTTTGACTGCAAGGAGACTCTGGGGAAGACCCAGGACACACTGTAGAGACTATGCCTCTCAGCTGCCCTGGGAACACCTTGAATTCCTCCCAGAAGAGCTGGAAGAGGTGGCTGTGGAAAGAGATGTCTGGGCTCAAGCTGCTGCCCCATGACCTGACTTTGGAACAAGAGGAAAATGAAGAATGGATGGATATATGTCCTGATGCATGCTCATTAATCCAGGTAGATAAATTTATCATGGTTAAATTGGTCCTCTGGATGGATTTTTCTTCGGATTCATCATCAGGCCAGGACTGTGCAGTCTACACTCATCTGGAGGCCAGTGGTCACTCTTTCGGTGATGAAGATGTTCACATCCTTGATAAAGTGGAACGCTGGTTTGAGAGCAGAGTGAAGAAAGTCATCTTTATGACGAGAACCCATCCATCATTAAACGGGGTGGGGGCCTTCATGGTCAACTGTCCCTCTCTGACAATGCTGGTATTGCTAGTGTCACTCAGTCCTCTGTGAATAGCAAGCGACAATCAAGGCATTAATGACCAATTCTTAGGCAGATGGTCCTCCTTTTACATGTGAATGGCTAGTTCTAGATGTCATCAGCAAACTGATTGATGTGCTATGCGACGGTACTAATTATAAAACCGAGTTTTTTTGCAGCTCCCCAGACTAAAGAAGTATTTGGGATAAAAAACTAAACATTTTAACAAAAAGAATCTGTCCAGAGGAACTGACTTAACCATGTTGGATAGATAGTTGCATAGAACAAACTAAAATATGAGCTCTGAGGTGCTTTTATTTAAACTCCTTTTCACTGAGTGATCAACATTTACCAGTCAAGTCAAGTCACATTTATTTATATAGCACATTTAAAACAGTAACTGTTATCAAAGTGATTACCAAAAAAAGATCACAGCATCAAATATTAATAACAACATATTACAGCAACATGAATAAAAGCATAAAAACATGAAATATAATGAGAAACAATGAAATACTAAATCAAATCATCCTGCGTTAAATGTCAGGGAGTAAAAGCAAAATGGATGAACACAATCATCAACAACAAAATACCAAATGAGATCACACTGTGTTAAATGCCAATGAGTACAGATGTGTTTTGAGGAGAGATTTAAAAATAGAGACTGAGGTGGCCTGTCGAATGTTGATGGGCAGATTATTCCAGAGTTTAGGGCCCATGACTGAAAACGCCCGATCTCCTCTGAGCTTCAGCCTGGTTTTTGGTACGGCCAAAAGCAGCTGGTCTGATGATCTCAAGGCCTGAGAAGCAGTATAAGGATGAAGGAGGTCGGAGAGGTATGAGGGTGCAAGGCCATTAACACACTTAAATGTCAGCAGAAGAATCTTAAAATCAACTCTGACACGCACAGGAAGCCAGTGAAAAGAGGACAGAACTGGAGTAATGTGCTCAAACCTGCGAGTTCCTGTTAGTAGCCGAGCTGCAGCATTTTGGACATTTTGGACCAGGAACATTTACTTGTAATAAAAACAGACATTGTAAAAAAAATAATTTAGTAAGTCTTAAAAAATAGTTTTATAATCATTACATGACAAAACTTTTTATTAGTTTAATCATATTTATTTAGAAATATAAGATAGTCCAATGTTTACAAAAGTTAGCTACTTCTGTACCTTTTTGACAAATATAATCTACAAGTCCAGCTTTGGAATTAAATGTTGAACTAATCTGACAGGATGTTATTTCTTCTCTTCCCTGGGAAGATCTGGCCGAATTTGTATTCCTGGGTTTGTTCCTGGTTGAAATGTCCATGAAAATGTATGGTCTCGGACCCCAGAACTACTTTCACTCTTCATTCAACTGTTTTGACTTTGGGGTAAGTCACTCTGCTCAGAATGATAAAAACCCATGAAGTTGCAGCACTAATCAGTCTGTGTCTACAGGTGATTATTGGCAGTATTTTTGAGGTTATCTGGGCTGCAATGAAACCTGGAGCCTCGTTTGGGATTAGTGTCCTCCGAGCACTAAGACTCCTCCGGATCTTCAAAGTTACCAAGTGAGTCATCAAAACTGTGTGTGTGCTGGAAGCCCAGGTTGACTGAATATGTTACTGTATTCATGTGCCTGTAGGTACTGGAACTCTTTGAGGAACCTGGTGGTGTCATTACTCAACTCAATGAAATCCATAATCAGCTTGCTGTTCCTGCTCTTCCTCTTCATTGTTGTCTTTGCTCTGCTGGGCATGCAATTGTTCGGTGGACAGTGAGTTTTTTTATCTCCCACCATCGTGTGTGTGTGTATTCACGTTATAGCCATTCTTGTGTAGGTTAGCATTAGCTAGCTATGACGACTACTTCCCCTAAACAAACACATGAATTTGATGTTTTTCACACAAACATTTAAAAATGACATCTGGCTGTGTCAACCATCTTGAATTGGGGTGACTTCAGAACTTAATGAGTTGTACAGCCAATGATTCCTTTTAGAAAGTTTCATTAAAGTCTGTCCAGTTGTTGATGACAAACACAGTTGACTATAGTAGTTAATAGTAAAGCATTCAAAACAGATCATGTCTGATCAATTTGTCCTTGGAGGTCATGTTGGGGATCACTTTCAGCTAAGACTGATTAACTGTGGCAGCCATTTTGAAAGGCGTTGATGATATACAACGAAAACTTACTTTCTGAGCATTTCATTAAAATTTATACCCAATGGTTCTTGAAATAGTTTGCTAACACAACTTTTAAATGAACAGAGAAAAGCAAAAACATTATCAGCCTTTGGCCTCTGATAAAAAGACTGAAGAATTGACAAAATGCAAATAAGTTTGTAATGTTTAATAAGAGGCAGAAAATGTTCAATTTTAAAAGTGTTATGTAAAACTAGGAACCATAATTATATTTCTCATACACTTGTAAACACTCAGTATTTATGTTAAAAACTGAGCCGATGTTTACATTTTTGAATGCAACAATAAATATTTTTATGAATCGTTTTAAATTATTTGATTAGATTTTCTATCACCATTCTTTCACCATACAGTTACTAAAAAAAGTGAAAATGAAGCATTTGAATTTGGAGCTCTTAGAGTGAACTGACCTTTAATACTTCAGGATGATGTGGGGGGAGGGGCTTGAGCTGAGCTGTTGAATAAAGTGTAATTGCAGTCAAGTCCTTGTTTTCTCCCTGCAGGTTTAATTTTGAAGATGAAACTCCAACAACCAACTTTGATACATTCCCAGCAGCCATCCTCACCGTGTTCCAGGTAATGGTTAACAGGTCGCTGTGCTTGCTTTCATGTTGATGCTCTGCAAGCGTTCATGTTGACGCTCTGCGTGCATTCATGTTGACGCTCTGCGTAATTCATGTTGACGCTCTGCAAGCGTTCTTGTTGAAGCTCTGTGTGTTCCGATCAACACTGCACATGTTCATGTCAATACTGCGAGGGTTCATGTTGACACTGCGAGCATTGATGTTGACGCTCTGTGTGTGTTCATATCAACACTGTGCACGTTAATGTCAACATTGCAAGTGTTCATGTTGACACTGCGAGCGTTCATGTTGATGCTCTGTGTGTATTCATATTGATGCTCTGCATGCGTTCTTGTCAATGCTCTGTGTGTGTTCATGTCGACATTCTGTTAGTGTTTATTTTATTACTTCTCGAAGCATGAGTCACAAACCTGTTTGTTTCTCTTTCAGATCTTGACAGGAGAAGACTGGAATGCTGTCATGTACGACGGGATCAAATCCCAAGGGGGTGTGCACGGGGGAATGTTCTCCTCCATTTATTTTATCGTCCTCACTCTCTTTGGTAACTGTATCCTGCTTCACTGATCCTAATGAATTTGCTGTTCTTGCCATGTTGCTCCACTTCAATGTTGATTGAAGAACCAGTGCATCAGTAAACACTGATCAGTTTCCTGATCTCAAATAACCAGACACACTCCTAAATGTGTTCTTGGCCATAGCTGTCGATAATCTTGCAAACGCCCAGGAGCTGACTAAGGTACAGTTTTTCCCCCTAGCTTTAAATAATATAGGATGATTATATACTAAACAAAAATATAAACGCAACACTTTTATTTTTGCACCCATTTTACATGAGATGAACTCAAAGATCTAGACTTTCTATGTACTCAATGGGCTTTTATCTCTCAAATACTGTTCACAAATTTGTGTAAGTATGTATTAGTAATCACTTCTCCTTTGCTGAGATAATCCATCCACCTCACAGATGTGTCATATCAAAATGCTCATTAGACATCATGATTATTGCATAGGTGTGCCTTAGGCTGACCACAATAAAAGGCCACTCTAAAATGTGCAGTTTTGTCACACAGCACAACACCACAGATGTCACACGTTTTGAGGGCTTGGGTAATTGGCATGCTGACTGCAGGAATGTCCATGTTCAGAGAATTTGACAGTATAGTAGTCACTCATTTATCACGGGGATCAATCAAGGAAATCAAGGACAATGTGAATTCAGTTTTACCAATTGTATTAAATCAAGGCGGGCAGCATGGTGGCGCAACTGGTAGAGCTACTGCCTCTCAGCGAGCAAGTCCCCGGTTCAAATCCCGGTCCCGGGGCCTTTCTGAGTGGAGTTTGCATGTTCTCTCCGTGCATGCGTGGGTTTTCTCCGTGTACTCTGGTTTCCTCCCACAGACCAAAAACATGCATGTTAGACTGATTGGTAACTCTAAATTGTCCCTAGGTGTGAATGAGAGAGTGAATGGTTGTTTGTCTCGTTTGTCTCTATGTGGCCCTGTGATAGACTTGCGACTTGTTCAGGGTGTACCTCGGATGAGAGACGAAACGTTTCTACATTTTTTTGTTGATTTGCTTTTTTTTTTTTTTTTTGAATGTCTTCAGCTCTTTCCATAGATTCTCGATTGGATTCAGGTCTGGACTTTGACTTGGTCATTCCAACACCTGGATACGTTTATTTGTGAATCATTCCATTGTAGATTTGGCTTTATGTTTTGGATCATTGTCTTGTTGGAAAATAAATCTCCGTCCAGTCTCATGTCTCTTGCAGACTCAAACAGGTTTTCTTCCAGAATGGTCCTGTATTTGGCCCCATCCATCCTCCCATCAATTCTAATCATCTTCCCTGTCCCTGCTGACGAAAAGCTGGCCCAAACCATGACGCTGCCACCACCATGTTTGACAGTGGGGATGGTGTGTTCAGGGTGATGAGCTGTGTTGCTTTTATGCCAAACATATCATTTTGCATTGTGGCCAAACAGTTCGATTTTGGTTTCATCTGACCAGAGCACCTTCTTCCACGTGTTTTGTGTGCCTCCCAGGTGGCTTGTGGCAAACTTTAAACAACACTTTTTATGGATATCTTTGAGAAATGGCTTTCTTCTTGCCACTCTTCCATAAAGGCCAGATTTGTGCAGTGTATGACTGATTGTTGTTCTATGGACAGACTCTCCCACCTCAGCTGTAGATCTCTGCAGTTCATCCAGAGTGATCATGGGCCTCTTGGCTGCATCTCTGATCAGTCTTCTTCTTGTTCGAGATGAAAGTTTAGAGGGATTGCCGGGTTTTGGTAGATTTGCAGTGGTCTGATACTCCTTCCATTTCAATATGATTGCTTGCACAGTGCTCCTTGGGAAGTTTAAAGCTTGGGAAATCTTTTTGTATCCAAATCCAGCTTTAAACTTCTCCACAACAGTATCTCGGACCTGCCTGATGTGTTCCTTGGTCTTCATGACGATCTCTGCGCTTTGAACAGAACCCTGAGACTATCACAGAGCAGGTGCATTTATACGGAGACTTGATTACACACAGGTGGATTCTATTTATCATCATCAGTCATTTGGGACAACATTGGATCATTCATAGATCCTCACTGAACTTCTGGAGTGAGTTTGCTGCACTGAAAGTAAAGGGGGCGAATAATATTGCACGCCCCACTTTTCAGTTTTTTATTTGTTAAAAACATTTGACACATCCAATAAATTTCATTCCACTTCACAATTGTGTCCCACTTGTTGTTGATTCTTCACAAAAAATTACAGTTTTATATCTTTATGTTTGAAGCCTGAAATGTGACAAAAGTTTGAAAAGTTCAAGGGGGCCGAATACTTTCGCAAGGCACTGTATATATATATATATATATATTTCTGGGTGGAGTTTGCATGTTCTCTCCGTGCATGCGTGGGTTTTCTCCGGGTGCTCCGGTTTCCTCCCACAGACCAAAAACATGCATGTTAGGCTGATTGGTAACTCTAAATTGTCCCTAGGTGTGAATGAGAGAGTGAATGGTTGTTTGTCTCGTTTGTCTCTATGTGGCCCTGTGATGGACTTGCGACCCGTCCAGGGTGTACCCCGCCCCTCGCACAGTGATTGCTGGACATGGGCACCGGCGACCCCCGTGACCCAAAACGGAATAAACGGGTAAAGAAAATGGATGGATGGATGGATATATATTTGTATGTATGTATGTATGTATGTATGTATGTATGTATGTATGTATGT